ACACTAGGAAACGCCAAGATTTTATGTGTTAATTAGGGCCTTAGCTAAGGGTGCACTGAAGTCAAGCTGGAGACGTTTACTCAAGTGAACTGTACAGTTACTGTCACAGCTCAGCTGCACAGCGGGTTAGAGAAGCGTGTGTGTGTCCTCTCTCCCCACTACACTGTAAGCATTCCTGCTGGAATTCTGAGCCACAGGCAGCCTGCTATCTCCACGCCTCCCGAAACATCCGTTGATCTGTGTGACGTGACAGACGAGCTAGATACACGTGAGCCAAAGCAAGCCAAGCATTTTGGCTCCAAAAGATCAGTGATAATAAAAGAATCATTTTCCAGACAATATTTTCAAGTTAGTGTGGGAACACAGGGACCAGACAAAGAATGGAGAAAATCAAAGATGGAACCTTATTGGGTTGACATATGCCTCTAATACTCGGGGTGCTAGGTGAAGGGTTTAGCGAACAATAAATAAAACAGAAGTCGTTGTGAGGGGCAGGAATAGCGTCACGCTCCTGCACCTCCCTGTTGGAAGGGTCCTCTGGCATTAAGGGTGACAGGATGCAAATGCTAAGAGACAGGGTTTCCCACCTGAAGCTAAAGTGATGAAAAATTAGCACTAATTGGTGACTACTTCCTGAGCCCGCAGATAGGAGCATCGTAGGTGACAGGTCATTTGCTTATTTAGTTTTATTCTCGAAAGCCAAATTCTGGAAGAATCAGCCCCCAAATGGCAACTCATAGCTCTCTCCATCCTCCCTCGTGCCACCTCAGAGAAATGCTGTTCTGGATCAGCCTGGTTCTGGACTCCTGCTTCACTTATTACTCTGGGTTTCTCTTCTATTCCCACGCCACGAAGATGGACTGTAACAAGAGCTGCCCCACCTTAGTAAAACATCACCATCTCCCAATTCTCCAGACTGATCAAAAAGTCCTGTACTTGGGTCTGGAGAGAGGGCTCGGTGGTTAAGAGCTTTTGTTGACTTGGCAGAGGACCAGCATTCGGTTCCCGGCATCCACAGGGTACCCACAACCATCTGTAACGCCAGTTCTAAATGATCCAATGTGTTCTTCCGGTCTCTTCAGGCACTGCAGCCTTGTGGTACATAGAGACACAAGTAGGCAAAACACCCAGATACATTTAAAAAAAAAAAGGCCTATGTTGTTTTTATTCAGGCCTGAAGTGGTAATATAAATCTGCTTTGCTTTAAGTATTTTGTTTTTTATTGTCTGATTTTTAATTTCTTCCTGGAATTGCCTGATCCTGCAGCTAAGAGGGATCTTAGGAAGAAATAGACATAGGAAACATTTTGGTTTCTTTTGGTAACACAATCCATTTGGGTTTCCATGGCAGGGTAGCACAGTCTCGGTACTTATAAACACGAAATTTGATTTCTTACAGTCCTATAAACTGGCAAGCCCAAATCAGCGCTCAGCCAGATCCATTGTGTGGTGAGGGCCAGCTTCTTGACACACATGGGTGTCTTTTCGCTATTCCCTTACACCGCAGAAGTCAAGGAGCCTTCTGGGATACCGATTGTAATGGCACTAAGCCCATTCATGAGAATTTCACTCTCTTGGCTTAATCAAATCTTACAAACATAATTTCTATCTTGTTTGTTTGAAACGGGATTTTTCTGTGCAGACCTGGCTGTTCTGGAACTTATTCTGTAGACCAGGCTGACTTGGAACCCTGCTTGTCTCTGCCTCCTGAGTACTGGGGTTAAAGGTATGTGCCACTATGCCTGTCTTAAAAGCCCTGCTTCTAAATACAGCAGCCTTTGTGATTAAGCTTCAAAACGTGAAATTTGGGGATACACATTTAGTATTAAGCATCTGATTCCTTTTCTGCTTTAATGGGCCATTTTTTATATGTTCATTTCTTGCTTCTAAAGTACTCTTTGGGGATATGCTTAGCTTGGGATTCTTTGCCATAGCCCTCAACCATTACACAAGTACAACCAACCATGTTCAGTGGTTTTCCCTCTTGATCAGTTTTACAGAGGCCTACTCATACTTTCTTGTTGTCATCTACCTTACTTAGGTTGATTTGATGCTCAGTGCAAAGGGCCTCTAATATATATATATATATATATATATATATATATATATATATATATCTCAGTTTGGATGTAATTGGCCCCCATAATCTCATAGTGAGTGAGGGAGTGGCACTATTAGGAGGTGTGGCTTGTTGGAGTGGGTGTGGCCTTGTTGGAGGAAGTGTGTCACCGTGGGGGTGGGCTTTGAGGTTTCCTATACTCAGGATACTGCCCAGTGTGTTAGTCAACTTCCTGTTGTCTGCAAGACGTAGCTCTAACAGCACCAGCACCGCGTTGCACACCACCTTGCTCCTTATCATGATAATGGACCAAACCGCTGAAACTGTTAAGTGAGCCACCCTGATTAAAATCTTCTTTATAATAGTTGCCGTGGTAATGGAGTCTCTTCACAGCAATAAATAGCCTAACTATGATATATATATGATATGTATATAACTATTATATATATATGTATATATATGTATATATATATACATATATATATATATGGTAGTTATATATGCTGATCACAATTGGGTACAAGCACAGAAGATGGGCTTGGCAGTTAACTAAGGCTTTAGCAGCCTCACAGATGCCATGTGCTTGGCCACTGTGGATGAAGGCAGTCTTCATCACCTCTTGTAAAGCAGTATTAATGTCATGGCACCTCCAACAACCACGTCTTCCTTGGCCATGGAGGTGGATTATTTGTGAGGCCAAATCCTGAACATATCTGAGCCTCCGACTCCATTGGCAGCAAGGAAAAAAAAAATGACAAACCCAAGCCGAGGATACGGGGAAAAAACATTTGGAAACCTGGCACTTTGTCAATGAACTAAAATCTGTCATTGAAAAGGAGAGTTTGAATGGAGGTACCCTGCGTGAGTGGGAAATGCTGCCCTGAGAAGCCGTGGGTTGTTAAATGAACGTCCTAGTTTGGGTATAAGCAACCTCCCTATGAGCTGCTAGCCAGGAAAGTCCCAGGGGCTCCCCAAACAAGACAGGCTATTGCCATTGCCCCCCGTTGTTCACCAGATCTAGACGGCAACACCATACTTCAGTTGATTTCTTTAGACTCCATTCTGTTTCCGTGAAAAGATGTCCTCCACTGGGGTTAGTCAAATTCTAGAAAAACCGACTTGACAAATCCGGACAAAACTGTCAATTAGAAAAGGCAGATCTTTACGGCCTCAACCTCAGAATTTCACTTTGAGTGGGCCCACAGCGGGAGTGGGGGGGGGGCGCGGTTGACTATGTCATGATTGCTCTCAAGAATGTGAGCTTGTCAAATGAATATTAATGAGTCATGAATTATTACCCCATCTAAGCATTTCGTGTCGTGAGGTGGCACTTTATGGCATTGTGATAAATCAGGAAAGAAATGCAGGCTGCTCCCAAGAGCCCCTGGAACGTTACTCGCATTTCCCAAATGTCTGAGCATCTTTGAGGAGATCTTTTTATGTGAGGATTTTCAAGTTCTCCAGCAAACAAAGTGGACGGAACGTGTCTCAGCAAGCGTAGCTTTATCGGGAGCTCTCAGTTCAGTTTGTTCTTGTGATTCCAGAGTTTTGTTTGACTGGGAGACACAATAGTCGGGAAGTTGCTATCAGAAAAAGGAAAGTCACGATTAGGGACCCACTCATCAATAAGGAAAAGAAAGGACGAGGAGAAAGTCTCTATTCCTTCGCCAGGAGTTGAAATGCTTTCTGGCTTAAAGATGAAAAACCAAATAAAACCAACCAGCCAGCCAAAGAAACGATTCCACAACAGCGTGAAATAGCCAGGGTAGCAGAGAGCGGCTGTTCTATCGTCACCAGGGAAGTGGGTTTGAGCTTTACATTAAGAGAACAAAACAAGAGCAGGTAAGTTTATCATGACAGAGACACGGTGAAATCAAAAGGCAGAGCAGGAAGTCAGAGGCACGAATGCCATCCCCCACGCTTGTCTTGCAGCAACAGTGCAAACCTGTAATAGTGAAATCCTGTTTCAAACTCTCATGTCTACAGAAAGTAGAATCCCCAATCTAGATTATCAAAGAAAGGGTTTAATGATATCTCAAGACTCATGACATCTTGACAGGGACCCTCTTATATGAACCAACACAAGCTAGTTTTGCAGAAAGATACTAATACTATGTAATTTTCAAGTATAAACTCCAGGTACCGCCTGCTGGCCTTTGTACTATAGAGCTACCCTTTCCTGGCTACTAACTGTTGCCTTTCATACCATGTGTTCACGTTTTTTCCTTTCTTCTTCCTCTCCTATTAACTACTATGTCCTAGTAGCATTTTCTTTATTTGGGCAGTTCATTTAGGTCACTACTAAGCCAGGCATAAAGGATTAATGGATTAAATCAAGGGTATCAAACTCTACCTCTATAAGTCAAATTCAACCTGTGGACACGGTGGGTTTGATCCGTCTAATATATATCAAACGGTTTGGAACAATCATACCAACATTTGAATCGCTGCGTTTCTCCTTATAAATCAACGGATTTTCAATGCTGGACCAGAATTACACAAGGCTAGGATCTGAAGGAGCAAGATATTTGGAAGCCCCATTGGTCTGTTGCTCAGGCTCAGCCAGTTTTCCTACCGGCTTTTTCCAGGCATGAATACATGACCCTCAGATTATATTGATCTGGGCGATAGTAGGGGAGCTGGTGTACATATGATTATGAGTTAAAGGTTCAACATGACCTACCAAATAGACTCAATGCGTGAGTGAAAACCCTATGCTTTGTTTTAATTCCTGTAACATCCATTGGTGCACCACTGAGAACAAAAATATTCTTGTAAAGATAAACAAAACAGATCCTTGATTACGAATCCAATGAAGGGAGAAATTAACATGTCTGCAGAACTGTCTACTAATCCCAAGTACTGTATCCCTAATTTTCTCCTTCTGGAGTTTATTCTTCCCCCAAACTATGACAGAAAAGTCCCAACTCATTTTTTTAAAAGAAGAATTTATTTTTGATTAAGTGATTTCGTGATGTAACATGGCTTTAAACAAAAATAGAGATCAGTATGAAAATAAAACAAATTGTACACATTAAAATATCTTTCCGTCAAAGCATTTCATAATCATAAAAAATACAACACAAGAGTCAGGGGCTCAGGTGAGGATAAGAATACAGACTTCCCGGAAAAAAATGAACAACTGGTCCACGATTCAGTTGTAAGCTTTGTGTAATGCCAGTCATGACGCATTTCCAGGACGGCTACCAACACCCTATAGTATGTGCCTTAAAAAAAAATGTTACTGTAAGGTCAAATGAGGGCTGTGTAATCTTATTCTAATATCAAACACCTCCCATTAGTTTTCTCTATTAAAAGTTACACCGAAGAAATACAAAGCTTAAATCAAATCAACAGACCCAGAAGTGTGACAATTTACTGTGATCTATGGTACAGTGGGCATGAAGGGCGGGGCTGGTGAAGAGACAGAGAGGCTTAAAAAATACACCGCCTGTGCTCTACTGAAATCTTAGAAATAAAATGTCTTTACAGAGCCTTGATATTAAAAAGTAAGCATTATTATAAAATTAGATTAATACTTTCAGTAAGAGGCAAGAGAGATGCATGTAGGTTTTTTTTTTCATTCATTTATTTTGGAATGCCTGCACCCCTATTATAAAAACATGTAATCTTATGCACTTTCCAGTGTGCTAACAGCCCCCATATTTTACTTATGATATTACATAAAGAAAAATAAGCTGTAATTATATCTTTTAGGGCATTGATGTCCTAACAAAACATTCTGTTCTGTGTTTCCTGGTTCACCCTTCCAAGGTGTTTCTTAAACATTACCCATCCCTTTTAACAGAAGGTGATAATTACCAGAATTTACTGATGATTTCTTACCTACACCAGTAGTAGCTGATTCACTTTGAATCATAAACATTCCTATCAACATTCCTCAGGTTTGTCATATCTTAAAATGAAATTGGATTTGAAGATATCACTTGCCCAAGGCCACCAGACATAAAAATCATAAACAGCTAGAGCCATCTGTCCTGTTGAGCTATTTGATCACGAAATCAGAATCAAGTACCTTGACCATCAAAACTGAAGCAAATGTATCTGCTGTCTTAACTTCTTTGGTAGGAAGCCGTCATTCGGTCTCCTTTTGTGATTCGGTAACCTCACACTTCAGAGCTTGCTTTCCACACTAATAGGAAATGTTAAATCAACAATATAATAGTGTAATATTACACTATTATAATAAATAGTGTAATATTACACTATTATAATAGTGTAAATCAACACTAATTGGAGAGCTGATTGGAGAGTGAGAATATCTCAAAAGTTATGTTAATGTCAGCTGTAAAAACAAACGAACCATAATGAAATAAAAGCACTTTTATTTCAAAAATAGCGTTTGATAGTAGTAACAATAATTTCCAAGTTAAAAAAAAAATCAATGCAAACTGTTGAGCTTCCTGATCAAGCTATGGTTAGCCTTAAAACTTTGGGACTAAATGACATTTTGCAGAACAGGAAATACTAGCTTACTGAAATCACACAATATGGGTATCTCCCACCAGGTAGATGGCCCATCAGTGTGTTCACAAAACTAAGACATTGTTTTCAACTCAGAAAAGTCACACATTCCGACTCCCCCTTCAGCATGCTCTGAGTCTGATGGTGTTTGCAGCAATGTTCCCCTGTCTCCTTGGCTCTCCTGCGATCTTAAATGCGCCTTCACTCCTAACCCTGATGGCTCTCACGGAGTCAAACACGTTCTTTCTATCCATAACGTCAGTTCCTGGAGATGCAGCTGTTACTCCTGAATCTCGACAGCAGTTACGGTTAGATGGCCAGAGCGGTACAATTGCCAGGCATCTCTTTTTATTTTTTTAACCAACCTTTGAACGGTAGTGGTTGGACCTTGAGTTACAGCCCAGAAACCTCTGATGTCTCTGGGGTTCCTTTGCTTCTGTGCTAGACAGATGATCTAAAAACAAAACTAACTTCGAAGCAAATAGAGTCTTCTGATTAGAATCTGCTGCCAGGGGGACATTCTCATTAACTTAAAGTCAAGTCACATGTGAGTAGGCTGGCCGATTGAGGACACCACTCTGCAACAGCTGACCCAAATCTCAAGTGTAACTGGGGACGTGGGAGGGGGACAGGCTGTATTTTTTTCAACAGCATGTTGTTTCTTATGTGGGGTTAGTGGTGCCTTGTCATGAGAGAACGGCCTCGTTTCCTGCCCCTGGAATTTCCTGAATGAAGTTAAATTGAATAAAACTCTAGACTCTTCATTATAAGTTATGTTCCTTGTGAGAAGTAGTGCAAAAGGTAGAAAAAAAAAGTCATTTGAATAAATATCAGGAAGACAGGAAGATAAACGGAAGCTGCGGGTGGTCCCTTCCTCCACATCACTGGGAGCCAGCTGCCAGGCCTCTGAAGACTCGGGTTTAGCAAAAATCAATAATGGCCTTTTCCATATTCTTGCTTCTACATAATCCCCAAGGAAGCCCACCAAAGACAACCAGACTGGTCTTCAGTTGCTCCCACAGGCAGGACATGTAAACACTGTGCCGGTGAAGAGCCTTCTCCACGGATATACTCCTTTCTCCATGGCCTCCGCAGGAGCGCCACAACTGAAGCGTGTTTGAGAAAGTGAGAGTTCGGGAAAGGAAAGTCTGAAAATCGAGTAGATCGGTACAAACATTAGCCTTCGTAGTTCCCGCGATGAAACAGGATCGCGGCACCAAAGTAGGAGAACTCATCTCCCCAGTTACGCGAGAAATGAGCCCGATCCCAGCGGGAGCTTGATCCTTCTCCCTAAGCGAGCACTGAGGACCAAAGGAGGATGAGGATGCTCTGGCAAACACTGGGAAGCGCTTCAGCGCTGGGCAACAAAGGCTCCAGCGCTTCGGGCTTTCTCACATTTCCATCAGGGCGGCTGTGAACAGACCTCAGTCCTTACGACTAGAGTTTAATGGACTGAGAATGTCTGGAGGGGTTGCACTCTGGTTTTGCAAAATGTATTCCTTCTCTAGTTCAATTGCATCTTTTATATTTATTTATTACAGAGTGACCACTAAAGTATAAATACAGCATGTACTAGAAAAGTGACTTCCATTCATTTTGTGCGCCAGAGAGATGTTCTGATCCCGGGTGTGGTTTTTGGCTCAGGAATTGAGATATTTTACACCGAAAATGGAACGTGTGTTGTAGCGCAGGGATGGGAGGAAATACCCAGACTTCATTTTGATATTTCTTTTTTTTTTCTATTCTTTTCTATCTAGGATGATATTTCTTTGATAATTTAAAGACCCTTGACTTGCTCCTTCACAACTCAGGCTCCATCTGTAGACTCAAAGCCCTCCTCATTATGAATGCATTTTGGGTCTCAAGATTTACCAGCACTGATATTCTGACACCTTTGTAGTTACCGAGAGAAACAGCACATCTGTGATGATGACTTGGAGCTACACGGTTTCACATACACGAAGCTATAACCAAGACTCTGGCGGGGCGGGGGGGGGGGGGGGGACGGATAGGTTATTCTCTCTTCATTCATGAATTGTAGAACTCGGTTTTTTTTTAATGAAAAATGTTTTGGAAACTCAATGCCCTCTCTAGTAGACCGTGAGCGTTTTTCTGGAGGCCAGATTCAGATTCTTGGGGGCTCCATCATCAAATGAGTGACTGGCACGAAGAGAACCCCAACGATGTGTCCGTGCTTTGAACGATGATGGGGTACCAAAATTGTCTTTTATGCTGCTAGTAGCCTCATTTAGAAATCTCTTCAAACCAAACCAAAGAGCCAAGTTATTGGGGTTCACATTCCAGAAGAACATATTTATGGATATTTCTAATTGTGGTATACAATAACATCTAATTTATTCAGTGGCTATGTTGTCTAACTTTTACAAGCTGTAAAAGTTAGTCGTGTGCTTTTGGTTTTACCCACGGAGAACAGCAGACAAGTTATCCTGGTTTTCTGATATGCTAGCTTCAATTCTGATCATTTTCCAACTCTCAGAACAGGGCCAACTAGACTAAATCGTACTACTTTAAGAACATCTGAGCGCATCTAAAATGGTTATTTGAGAAGTTGGATGCCTCAGCATCAACAAGATAGCATCAATTAGAAATAAAGGGGTACATGTTATTTCAAATATCTTCCGCCAACAATAGGGCCTACGGTGGGTGGCAAAACGTCTCAAACCAAACAAACACTAACGCGGCCTAGCTAGACATGTACTTTTGAAGGAAAGGCAGCTTTCCCGTGAGGAGACCCTGTGGCAGCTGTCAGTCAGGGGATGCTCTGACACATCAAAGTGTGATTCTCAGAGCGTGTTGGTGTGCTCTGCTTTCCTTACGATGAAAAAAACACAAACAAAAGAAGTTTGCAAAAATTAAATATATACTTGTATTCATGGCAAATAAGTACAAACTAATAATTCCGGTCAAAAGGTTTAGTTTTTTTTCTGGCCCAATTATAGTATACAAATAAATAGTCTTCATATCTTTCCCAGGTTCCTATAAGCTTTTCTCCTGGAATGTTTCCCCACATCCAGTGCTTATCTTTTAACACTGTAACACAACCTGAGCGTCATTCCTCCTGAGGATCTAACAGGACACACAGCTTCACTAGCAGGAGAGTAACTGCTCTTACTACACACCTCTGGGTACCTGTGCATGTAAGCCCGTGACCTGCAAAGTCACCCACATCCCACCACAGACGTCCACGCCACTTATAAACAAGATGCTCGGAGCAATGTGTAGGGAATGCCTGGAACGCCCCTCCCCGCAGACTGGCAGATTAAATGCTAATCCAATGGTTTTCCCGGCCCTCAATTCCATCCCACCTCACTGAATTCTGCATCTGCTTAGCGATGTCATAAATCAAGGAACAAACAATAGCATGGGACAGTCCCGAAAGCAATTAAAATGAAGGATATCCTTTTATTAAATTAAGAAGGCTTGTCAGTGATGTCATGCAGTTTCTGAGAGACCATAGAAAAGACTTTTTCTTGATATTAATAAGAAAGTTATGCATCAGTGAAAATGCAGGCCTAGAAATATAGTGCTGAGAGTTTCAATTCGTGGTATCTTCACTGATGAGGGAAAGTGGAATTCTTCCTACGAGGAGAGTTGACCTCTCTGACACCGCCGACGGCTCCCTAACCAAGCTTGCTGTTCGATGATGCTGTACAAATAAAAAGCAGCGGGGAGGAGGAATACGAAATTTCTGTAATAAATGCCATCCTGTAAAGTAGTCGATGGATGGAAGAGAATCTAATGCATTTTTAAATAAATGCATATCATACTATCACATAGTGTGAGTCTTAAAAAAATTATTACTTAGATGCACAGTCCTTGCAGTGGCTGCCACGGCACTGGGAAGGAAATCTGATTCAGAAGCAACGTCTGTTGTAACTCAGCAAGAGATGGAGCTGCTGTTAGTCATATTGTAATGTCCCTTCGACTTTGGTACGTTCAGTGCAAAATATTTGGGGGGATTTTTTTTGTAACCTTTATAAAAATAAAAGGCCCTTTACTTCCCTTGAGCGGGCTTACAAGGAGACAAGACTAGCCAGATGCCCGAGTAAGCACGGAACGTGAAAATGAAGAGGAGGTACGGACAATATGGTAGCTAGGTCCTTATATACATCTTAGAGAACAGAAATAGAACGAACCTATAAAAAAATAAAATAAACAGAACTCACTGTGTACGTTTTCCTGATATGCTGTGATTAATTGCTAGTTATTTGACATCTGTTTTCATGCATTATAAAGCATCCGATCTCTCATTAGCAGTTCACTGAACAAGTTTGTCTTCAGCCGCAAGGACACACATACCACTTGCATATACACTGTTACAGGACCACCTTGCGGCCAATCTTTACAGTTACCTCATACTGACTTCCGTTTCGCTCGCGTTCCGTGAATGTCGAAACCTATAGTGGACACCATGCAGGCACGCGTAAGCAAGAAATGAGTATTTCGGTTATAACTTAGGGCTTAAACAAATGTACTTTCGGGAAATATATATTTTTTTATGATAATCTTCCACTTGCACTAATTTGGAGATTGGGCCAAGTGCTGCCAGTTTGGCTTGAAGTTATGCCCGACGGGAGCGTTCCAAGATTCGCCCGAGTCACTGAAAGTCCCCCCATGGAGTTGCTCAAGCGCAGGTTCACCTTTATCTTGAAACATAACGCATGGGAAAAGGTTTGGCAGTCAAGAACTGTTGATTGAAAGACTGTTGGGTTGTTCCACGGGCCCCGAGCTCACCCCAAGGCTTCCAAGGGCACTCACAGCCAGCCCCCCAACACACGAGCCTGTGTTCCTCCAGAGCAACACGCAGTTTGTTCTCCTGGAACCGTGGGCTGGAGACTACCGCTGCTCTGCCACTCTTCCGGAGGCGGCTTCTGACGCTGCCTGTCCGCCAAGAGCCGAGCATCCTCCTCCCAGCTCACTCAAGCCCAAAGGTGCTGGTCTCTTCGACTGCTGTCAAGAGTTTCTCATACAGCATGGAAAAGGAAGGGTACGGAGGCAGATCCAGGCGGTTAAAACAAGTGTGGGCTCTGCAAACAGAAGAAGCATGATGAGAAAAACCGAAAGCGCCTCTTCAGGCGCTCATGTACGCATGCGTGTGCGGTGGGGGCGCGTGCACGCACGTGCATGTGCGCACCCACAAGAATGCCTTTTCCTTTCTTATTTGAATTTATCTGTTACCATTTCCACAGTTATTTTGGGAAAAGTGAAGATGTTTTAACTTAAAAAAAAATTCAGAGTTGCATTTTTCTTTAGAGGAGTTGGACACATTGGAATTTTTTTTTACACGTCACCTTTAGAAGATATATTCCGTGCATAGTATTGCTTGCTGAGCTGTATGAGAATGAAAACGCCAAGTTTAGTCCTTTTTCTTCCTCTCTGTTCAAAGTTAAGAATAAAGGCCTTGCCAAGGGATGCACTTTGATTCCCTTCCAACACTGCCAGTTGCCAGGGTGCCCCTCTGAGAGTCTGGGGCCCGGCAGTTTTTCATTTCCTTGGGCAGGGAAGACCAGCAAACTGTCTCTGAAGCCCAGACTATGGCTCAGAGTTTGGGGGAAAGTCCCTGGCTAGACTTGTGTTTGGAAGTCAGTAAACACTGGGACTGCTTTGAACTGTGTGCTCTAATCTGCCTTCCCACCCGTCACAACTCAAGAAAAAGGGCCATTAAATCACAGTTGTGTGCAGTGCTCTTTTTAGAAATACCTGCTCTTTTGCCAAGAAGGGGGGGGGGGTGTTTTCCTGTTATTTTCACCTGATTCACAATTTAAAAAAAAAATTCGTCTCCAAATAGTACATCTTATCAGGGAACAGATCTGCACTTTTGACACGGCATAGGAAATGCCCCGTCCTGAACGCACGAGAATTTGCTGGGCTAAGTAGCTTAGACTTAAGAGAGATAGAAAAACAAAAAACAAGACAAAACAAAACAGAAAACAACAAAAAAAAAAGACCCTGAAGTAACATGAAGTTTGAGGAGCCACAATATTTATACAAAAGCAATGTGCAAATTTTATTGTTACAAATCATGTATGTCTTATGATGTAAATATAAAATACTATTCCCGTAGGCGATACTAAACGGGGGAAGATTAACCTTGGTCTTGGGGAGATTTGGGGTTGAGTACCCCTTTTACCATCCGTACCAGCTGTGTGATTTGGAGTGTTGTGTTAGAATTCTGAGACTTAAATTTCTTACCTGTTAAATGGGAGTCAATACAATAAGGCAGTTGATATCAGAAGGGGGTGAGATTCACCGAAATAAGAGAAACACGCTTCAGAGAATGGCTGGCACGTGGTGTTGGACCACATAATAGAGCTGCATTGTTAGATACATTTCCTCATCACCAGAGGACTGTATCCTGATGGCCAGCGATAACAATGACCCATGGAAAACAGAGCTAAGCAAGCATGTGTGCGTTCATATAACTTACAGAAACGAGAATGTGAGGGGCTCTGTTAAACAACCCTGAAATTAAGGTTCCAGGTTTTCCACTCCTGATACCTCAAATACTTGGACATATTGGTGGAAATCACCTCATCAATCTTTGCGGGCAAACTAAAAACAAACAAACAAAAATGAAAACAAAAAACCCTACCAAGCATCCTAGAATTGTATTTATCATAATTCTTTTGTTATTTCCTTATAATGGAGCCCAGATCTGGATCCCAAGGCAAAGTTTTTACTAATGTGGCAAAACAGAGTCCCAGGGATGGCTTAAAATCTATCTGGTGTGAAACTCTGAAATTAATATATATATCTGGGCTGAGCGGTGGTGGTACACACCTTTAATCCCAAGCACCTGGGAGGCAGAGGCAGGTGGATCTCTGTGAGTTTGAGGCCAGCCTGGTCTACAGAGCAAGTCCCAGGACAGCCAGTGCTGTTGCACAGAGAAACCTGTCTCAAAAAAACCAATAAGAAAATAAAAATAGAAATTTATATATACCTGGTTTCATTTTTGTTCCAGGGCAGGTGAGGGATAAATACAGAAGTGAAATATTGTTTGAACAGAATAACATGTCAGACTTTGTGTGACAGCCAGGGAGTATTTATTACCCCATGTGACTGAGGTATGGTAGGCACTTCACTGTTCTCAGTTTCGTGTCTTGGTCTAACAGGTGTACGTAGTCTTAGGATTCACTGCTTTGTGATCTTCACCTTTTCTTTTCCCTACATTTCCTTTTTAATGCTTTGATGGTGGTGAAATTTTACCACTGTGGATTTTTTTTTGTTTGTTTGTTTGTTTTCGAGACAGGGTTTCTCTGTAGCTTTTGGAGCCTGTCCTAGAACTAGCTCTTGTAGACCAGGCTGGCCTTGAACTCACAGAGATCCGCCGGCCTCTGCCTCCCGAGTGCTGGGATTAAAGGCCTGCGCCACCACTGCCTGGCCACTGTGGATGTTTTTAAGGGCTCAGTTTGGTGGCATCAAAGGCACTCAGGCAGTGTGGTGGCTACTGTTGACTGTCCACCTGAAAGGGAGGCAAGTGACCCAGGAGACTTGGGCGCGTTCGTCAGAGGTTCTGCCCCCAGACTGGGTGCAGTACGATCAGTCACCTCAAGCTCCTGCCACCAGGATGGATGTGCCCCGTGAAATGTGAGCTAAGACCAGCTTCCCCTCTCTTTTGTGGCTTTTGTCAGGGCATTTTAGAACAGCGGCAGGCACAGAGACGAATACAAATGGACCAGCAACCGGCCCCATCCGCTAGTTCCAGAACACTGACATACCGCTTCTGAACTGGCTCCATCAAACAGTAAATGGAGCCCGTTTTTCTTCCTCCTGTGCCCCGGAATGCACAGTTCTGTTTTCTGTCTGTGATTTTTACTACTCTGTGTACTTTAAAGTAGAATCTTAAGATATATGTTCACTGTGTCTGGCTTATTTCATTTTGCGTAATGTTTTTAAGGTGGATTTTGTAACCATGGCTCAGGGTCCCCTTCATTCAGGCCACTGTGCGTATACCATGATCTGTTGATCGTTTCATCCATTGATGAACGTGAGTCTGTTTCCCACCTCTGGCTATCAGAAACACTGCTGCTGTGAACACACACACACACACACACACACACACACAGAGAGAGAGAGAGAGAGAGAGACTGACTTGCACGCATGCAATACCCGTTTAAATCTCTGCAAATCTCTGCTTTCAGGCTTTGGGGGAGAGATCCAGGAGTGGAATTGTGGGAACATGATGTATTTAACATGTTAAGGACCCACCAGTGCTCCTTACTGGTTCCACATTTTCCATCCATGCCAGCAGTGTACAGGAGCTCTTATCACTTGATATCTTCGTCAACATTCATAACATTCATTCTCTACATCTTATTTATTGTCTTAGGGTGTGTGTGCTTCAAGACAGGGTTTCTCCGTGTAGCTCTGGCTGTCCCGGAACTTGCTCTGTAGACCAAGTTGGCCTCAAACTCACAGAGATCCGCCTGCCTCTGCCTCTGGGTGCTGGGATTAAAGGCGTGAGCGGCCACCACCACCCAGTTTAGCTAGGGTTTCTATTGCTAAACTGAAACAGTGTGACCAAAGCAACTTGGGGAGGGAAGGGTTTATTTGGCTTAGGCTTCTACACCATTGTTTATCATCAAAGGAAGCCAGGACAGGAACTCAAGCAGGGCAGGAACCTGGAGGCAGGGGCTGATGCAGAGGCCATGGAGGGGTGCTGCTTACTGGCTTGCTCATCATGGCTTGTTCGACCTGCTTTCTTATAGAACCCAGAACTACCAGGCTAGGGACGGCACCGATTAAAATGGACGGGGCCCTTCCTATCACTAATCAATCACTAATTAGGAAAATGTTCTAAAGGTTTGTCTACTGCCTCATCTTACAGAGGCATTTTCTTAATTGACGTTTCCTCCTCTTATAGTTTACATTAGCTTATGTCAAGTGGACATAAAACTACCCAGCACATTGGTATTTTTTTAATCTTTAGTCTAGCCATCCTAATGGGTACGAAACCATTCATTTTTCCAGGGTTCTTATTGACTCATCTAAATGTTATATAATAAAAAAAAATGGACTCTCTTGTTGAGTTTGAAGAAGCAAGCTGACACGAAGCCTGAAGTCTAAAGGAGCTTGGAAACACACCCTTCCCTGGCTGAGTCTTCCTCTGAGAAAAAAAAAACCCAGGAGACACCCAAATCCAGTCTTGGGAGGCTGTGTAGACTTCACTAAGCCCTGCCTGAACCCTTGCACCAAAAACACAGAAAGACTTGCGGGGGCATTTTCAATCACTAAGTTTGCGTGGTTTGTTTGGCAGCAACCAGAAAATTAGTACCAAGTGTCAAGGTCCTCGAGCACACAAGGAAAGGTATGGAATGCGGTGATGACTTCATAGGACATGATCATGGGTCAAGGGTCAGTGCTGAAGCGAGGTTGAACAGGAATCGTGTACGGCCCTTTCAGTTTCTGTAGCATCTTTGCCGTTGCCTCTTATCTAGGAATTTCCACAAGCCTGGGTCCTGATTTCAGTTCTCAACATGAAAGGGAGGACTGAACCACTGGGCGTGTGTGTGTGTGTGTGTGTGTGTGTGTGTGTGTGAGAGAGAGAGAGAGAGAGAGAGAGAGAGAGAGAGAGAAAGAGAGAGAGAGAGAGAGAGAGAGAGAGAGAGAGAGAGATTCTAGCATAGGGTAGATTGGAACATAATGTAGCTCAAGCTGGGCCTGTACTCAATGCAAACCTCCTATCTTAGCCTCCCAATTAAGTTACCACTTCATCCTGGAGTAATATTCTCTTTGCTCCTCCTCAGTCACGAGACGTAACCACCGTCACTGCTGCACAATGTAGTCATCGTTGCTTCTCAAGTTACGTCTGGTTGCATAACATGTAGTTACCGCAACCTAACTTTCCTTCTGAATAAACAGATCCTCTGGAGAAAGTCTCATGAAGGTAGAGACAGGCGCCTATATTCTACACGGGGAAGCCATGTGCAAGGATTGAATGGTTTTCCTAAGGTCAAAGATAAGCAAGTGGCCCAACAACATCATCCAAACAAATAGCACCACAACCCCCCCCCCCCCCCGGGGCCTC